AGAGAGAAGGTGTGTGCAGAGCCTAAAAGTGAGTGAGAGAGAGACAGAGAGAGGAAAAAGAAGAAGAAGAAGGGGAGAGATAGGGAATGAGGGAGAGGGAGAAAATGTGAGAGGGAGGGAAAAGAAGGAAAGAGGGAGAGGAAGTGAGGAAGAGAGGAAGTGAGGAAGAGAGAAGGGAAAAGTGTACTTGTGAGAGTGTTTATATAGGAGTGTATGTTTGTCTGAGTGTGAGTGTGTAGCTAGTGTGTGTGTATGTATGTCTACGTGTGCGTATGTGAGTGTGTGTCTGCCTGTGTCGGTGTATGAAATTGCATGCGTGCGATCCTGAAGTTCAACCGGACAATGCAGGAGGTACCTGGCAGCGTTGTGGCTATGTCGTGTATTGCCGTACTCAGCCATTGCCTGATAGGCGTGTGTCTAGCCAGGAGCCTGTGGGCCGGAGAGGAGGATGAAGTGGAGGTGAGGAGGGTTTATAATTAACATGATAACAGATAGCATTTGTATAGCTCAACGGTAAGCTCTATGCGATTTACAATCTAGATCAGTACCCCAGAAGACAAGATAGCAATCTGAAACAATTCCAACTTCCTAGGAAGCATACAGTGCAAGCTCCCATTTTACCGGCACTAAAACACTTAACATGACAAAATCTTTCGCTGTCTATGGTCAGGTACCTATTCACACCAGGGTAGAGTAAGGGAAATTCCTGTAAATTGCCTTTCCCAAGGACACAACGTCGGGTCTGAGGGTCGTATCCTCGAAACCACAACCTGACTATTACGAGTCCGGTAGCCTAATCGTTAGTCTACCGATGCCACAAAATAATCAGAGAAAAAGTTTTACGCCACCTTTCATACAATTTCGGCCATTTAGTGTACGGCTGTTTCGACTCTGTCTCGGAGAATCAGGGCTGTGTGGCATACTATTTCAGAGCTAACAGACGGCAGTTCTCGAATTTAAAAAATAATATAATGCATGTGTATGTGTTTGTACATATAAATGAGATTATATAATATGTCTACATGAATAACAAACCTTTAGAGAGCCTTTTGAATTTATTTTTCCATCTCCGACTTGGCTGAGCTAAGTGGATGAAAAGCCATGAAAACTTAATGAATCCAAGGTTCCGGGGAGAATTTGAGCCAGGGTTTTCAGGAGCTTAGTTTAGCTTGACATAAACTAACGGTGCGTCGAACTTTGGTTGGAACTTTTCAATCAAAATTGCTAATCTTTGTTTTATTCATTCTAAAATGCCTCTCAATACTACCCTGTAACGGTGAGGGTTTTCTTTGACTTGAACATTTTGTTGTTGTTGGTGTTTTTGTTGGAAGGGGTTGTTACTGTACTAATTGTTTTATAGCTGTTGATATTGTTACTAATGTTATAGCTGTCATTGTTGCTATGATTACTATTGCTGTTGTGATTTGGTGTTTTGTTATTGCTGTTATTATTGTTTTTGTTGTTGTTGTTGTTGCTGTTGTTGTTGTTTTTGCTGTTGCTGTTATTGCTGTTGTGGCAGCTTCTGCTGCTGACGTTTGTGACGAGAATGTTTTGATAATCATGTACATTGTTCTTATCATATTCTCTTCTTTTTTAGAATAGCTGTTGACTACAATATTACCTTATCATTTCGGGTGAATGCTGTTACTGACACACCATTCCTTTCTGCCACAGTTAATGTCGTTGTTAGTGAAGCGCCGTTTCCGTCTCAACGGATGGCTAACACTTCTTCAACACAGATGTCCATGACAGTTTCATTATTGAAGGCCTTCGGTTTTACCGATCAGCAGTCACATACACGCACGGACGCGCGCGCGCGCGCGCACGCACACACGCACACACACACACACACACACACACACACACACACACACATACACTCACATCCCCTCTCTTTATCTATCTATCTATCTATCTATCTATCTATCTATCTATCTATCTATCTATCTAT